AACACTTACAAATTAAATTGATGCTGAAATGCCTCCAAAGTCAAAATGCCAGTGGTTTGAATGGTTTTAAACGTTTTGCTGCTATCATATCATAGCCCTTCTGTATGTTGATTTACAGAGATAAAATGACTTATTTTGTGCTGAACACAAAGATATTTTCAGCTAGTTCCGGTTTCCTGTCCATCTTAAAATCAAACCTCCCTTAAGCTTTATGATTCCTATTAGCAATGTTTGTCTGTTGTTATGGAGTAGATGTTGGATCTTTGAGATCTTGGATCACTTTAAGGACTCTCTTGTCCATTGTCGGCTTGAAAGATTAGGTTTGAATTTAGTTATTGACTTTTGAAATCAACCAACTTTTCAATAATTACATAAATTAGTTGGTTGACACTTAAAAAGTAATCAGTTAATTAAGTTACCTTCTAACTTAATAATACAATATAAAATATGGCACCCAAGACACTCATGGCAAATATGAGCAATTAAACAATAAATCTGTGATAATCTAGTTTTAACCATCACTACCTCTAAGAAAATACTTCCTGTGGAGCGAGAGGAATGATTTAGATGTATTGTCGAGGTTAAGTGGGGGAGGTGAAGGAAGGAGTAATTATCACCGTACAGGTTTTCCTTCCAGTCCTTTTCGCTATCTCTCTCACTGTCTGTGTTTATTTTCTTAACATGACAGAAAGCCCTCAAGGGTGACCTGTCAATCACTGTCGTCACAGTAACACGCACACAACCACACACATGGAAGAGAGTCATTACACATGTGTACAGTTGAAAATAAAAGTTCAACTGTACATATATATATATTTCCAATAAAGATGAACATGAAATAGAAATTTGCAAGATCATGCATGTGCACACAATGCAACGGAAATATCAACACACCCTAATGATTCATCATGACATTACCATGAAGGAAACCTGTAAATTATCTTTTGTCGGATTGGATTTCAAATTGATTTGGAGACAAAAGTTTCTTAGAAGGAGTGGAAAGCCTGTAAGGCTGAGGTGAAGTTCAACCGTCTCATGATGTCTGCTATGCTCCACCTTTGTGAATTAGACAAAATGTGCAACATTTTATAGTAATAAGGGAGTAGAGTGGTGTAATGTTGGGGCAGGACATAACACACCAAAATGTGTCACTTGGACCTATAAAGGGCCGTTTAATTATTAGGGAGGAACTGCACAGGCTGCAACATGAGATCAACTTGACGTAAGAAGGGAGAGTTTTCCCGGGATTGAAAGTTTCTATTTAAGTGGAATACAAAAATAAATAGATATTGTTTGCCCTTTTATGCATAATGCGTTACTCAAATGTACTTTAGATCATTAAAACTAAAATGATCTAATGTAGAGTTCTTTATAGGTAATCCAACATTATCAACTATTAGTGTGCTTTAGGTTTGATCAATGTTGCATTTATAATCCTGTTTTTACCATCTTCAAGAGACAGTCTCAGACATCAGTTGAAAGACATTCAGGAATGGCATCTTTTAAAATGTTAAGTGTATTTTCTAAAACAGGTCTATCAAAATGAAATGTTGTACACTGATCTGTACATGATTGTTATATTTCTTCTCCTGCTCCAGTATCTGGGATTATTTAACAACCTTTTGAAAACCTTAGTTGTCGTCTGTCAGATTTTCGGAAACATCTGAACTTCATCAGTCAGAGTCTTGTAATCACCCCTCTCAAATATCATCCTCCTTTTTTACATAACCCATATTGCTCACTACAAAGCTGTACTACAAATGGTTATGTCCAATGTGCAGCTTTAGAAAGCTTTAACCTAAATAAGGAAACTAATGGATGGAGCTGAGGGTAATACATCAGACAATTATTTTGTATTTGTTACCCTTCCCATTCAGAATGTAATAGCCTGTTGATTCAGTTTTTTGTAGTTAAAATATCTTAATTCACTTCATATCGCAAAAGTTACACAACACCAATTGATACTATTAGACCAAAACAACTCCAATATAGCAATTTGACAGTTGAACCACAATTATTAGTAAAGAGAGTCTTTCCCTGAGCTGCTTAAAATGTGAATTAACCACTTAACCCTCCTACTGTCTTAGTTTCCCCCCCTTTACTTTGGTGTTCTCGGTCAAATTTGACCGGTCCTGTTTTAACTGCTATTACATTAACAAAAAAACCATGAATCATCACCAAATGTCATTTAACACCTTTCAAACTGTCATCATTTTATATCGACTACTGGTATA